TATGTAATAATGAGATACGTCGTTTTATATACAATCGATAAATATTAATTGCAGTATTCGGATACATGCCACCTATAGAAGTACAGTCTGTTTAAAAATTGCAGACAGTTTATAAACCGCAATTGAAGATGAGTAGCAAGTTAAAATATACTGACTTCTAGGGGATTACCGTACTTTATTTATTTTATTTTTTTGGCAATTTACATATGAAGGGAATATAAAGAATACAGCCAAAATATAATGAATTGAATAAAACTGTCTGAAAAAATGAACAAAAATAACAAGAAACAAACACAGTAAAAGATAAAAAAAAAACAAAAAAAAAAAAATCATAAAACACATTTAAGGTTTGTCAGGCCAAAAAAAAAACAATCATAAAACACATTTAAGGTTTGTCAGGCCGGACAGACAAATATGGAACACTGGCATCACTTAGTGTGTCTCTCCAAACTTGAATTGGCTTGTCACAAAAGGTACATCATTGCACTAAAGAGTCACTAAATATACTTCTAAAAGGCAAACAAATGAAAACAACATCATAATAAGCGTATAGGCCTATTACATTTTTTTAAATCAAATAACAGAATTAATTCCTGTCTGAGTGTATAGATAAGGCAAAATATTGAATTGGTAAATAAATAATTCAATTTAAATTATACAATTCCAGCTTGTTTTTTTTTTTTTTTTTTTTTTTTTTTTTTTTTTCTTTTTTAAATAAATTTGAGGTTGCATTAAATTATTCTGAGAAAAACGTGTCCAGAAATTGACATTCGGAATCGAGCAGCACTTTGACAGAGAACTTGATTTCAGAATACATTAGGCCACTTGATATGTGACAAAGGCGAGATAGCAACGGGTACTTTCAAGATCATCTGACAAATACAGACCAGACCGTTATAAAAAAAACATTGTAAAAACTACCAGGGTTTTGTAGACAGGCATGACATGTGGTCAAAGGCAACTGCTGATTATCAGTAAAAATACTTATGAAAAAGAATTATAATACAATAAATAAAGATAGGCCTATATACTATTACAGGTGGCCTATTTAAAAAAACCGTATAATGATGCTATCAAGATATCGAAATTTGAAACATCGTTTACATCGTAAAAAGCTAAAGTACTGAATAATTCAAATTTTCAATATATTTTTATTTTGTTAGTTTTAATTAATCTCGTAATTGGTACGAGCATTTAATGTCTACTTAAAAACGCACAGTGATGTTTGTGTCCAGCTTGAAATATTAGCTACAAATATTACCAATATTTTTTATAGAATTTGCCATCTTCTGGTGTTAAATTTGGTATAGTTAATTCTCCTATATAAGGATTGTATTGTATATGTATATTGTATATAAGGATTTATTAGTACATAGAAAAATTGTATTCTTTCTGTTCTTAAATCTTGTTTATGTTACTTCTCGTTTCAAGTATTCTTCAAGCACTTCCCTTGGCGGTTCATACATGGGATTCAAGAGTTCAATTAATGTCAACACGGACTCTGTCAAAACAAATATGGATACAGGATTCAGCGCTGGATTAAAAGTAGACGATTTCACACTTGGCGACGACAACTTTGCTATGCCGTATTCATACATCTTAATGGGTATGGAGGAAGTCTTCGAGACTGAATATTGGCAGTTGAATGATGACTATGTGAGCACGGGAATATTGTCTGCTGATTTCTACGGTCGTCTGTCAACTATGCGATCTAATATGGAACTAGCGTTAGCAGACTACCCAGCTTGGTTGGACAGCGATGAAGCAAAAGAAGGTGAAGTTGTGTATGTCAAATGACGTAAGGGCATTATCGAAATGCTTGTGTCACATGTGGTCTAGTACATATTTGCGTATTTGTTTTACATAATTGAACAATATTCACCACTTATCTTCAGGTATTTAGAATTTGATAGCATGAAAAGTTGCAATGAATATAGGCCTATATTGTGTATAGATAATGTATATATATATAATATATATATATATATACATATCTATATGTATACGTATGTATATATATATATATATATATATATATATATATACATTTTAAA